ACTCTTGTCCTTAACAGAGTTGGTGGAAAGTTGTTTATTCATTTGTTTTTGCCATGTTGTGTACAAAGGCTCAAGCTTAGGCATTTAAGGTAATACAGCTACCAAGCTTTGACTATTAAGTTAAATTCCGCTTGAGCAGATTGCGGTCTCAGAATGCAAGTTATTCCAAGCCGTGTGTGAGCTTAGCTGGGTTAAATAGACCCATCTGAAATGTACTTGTGATTCATATGCATCCAAGTTTTAATAAATGAATTGAGGGTAAGTGTTGTGTATCATTTGTGCTTAGGCATTACTGAAACAAAAAAATGAGCAGAAGTAAACAGAATAAGTCAAGCACAGATTGTTTGCTTTTGTGATCAGACGTTCACATTTAAAACAAGTGTTGCAAGCGTGCTTGTCACATTTAAAGCCACACTAATGACAGTGAGCATCGTCAATCAAAAGATAACAGAAAGTAAAGAAAGATGTTTTTTTTACTTATTTGGGTGGACAGCAGTGCCTTATTCTGTACAATTCTTTATAAAGTGATGTAGAGCATCCCTAAAACCAGGAAGAACAGACCAAACTCATCACAATGATTGACTAATAAAACTGGCAAACCCATGACAAGATTGGTCCATAAGAAAACTGCACTAGAGATCTCAATGAACACCTTTATTAGTCTGTCATGCTTAATGAAAAGCCATCTTATCTGCCCGAGATGATCAAATATTGCTTTGGCAGCCTGTCTAGGTGTATAGCCACCACTACAGATACCCATTGACCCTTAAGAGTTACTCAAAGGAGCCCTAAAGTGCAGCTATCACAGAGGTTTAATTTTGTAATCGTCTGGGTTCCAGCTCCATTCAAATCAATGAAATATGATAGTCTCAATTACCATCTAAAGGGGTGGCTTGAAACCTAAAGCAAAAAAAAACAATAACCCTTGGCTATACAGATTTCCATCACAATACATGTTTTCTATTTGATGAAGGGCTTGCTCATTAGCTTGTGACAGTCCACATGTTTCTTCAAATTGAAAGGTACTTTATAAAGTATAGCCAGATAGAAACTTTGAAAGCTAGTCTAATCGGCTCACTTCTTACTAATTCCTTGACATCATAATCCTGAAGAGATGCTGGAGCTGTGAGAAGAAATGATAGGCAAAGTACTGTACATTTCCCTTCAAGAAGATCTGTTCTCTACAAGAAAAAAAAAGTGAATCACAATTTGGGTTGCTTTGGAATTGTGAAACTACAAATACTAAAAGGTCAGCAATGAAAACTAGTTAAAACATCTATTCTTTTCTTATTTGGTGTTGCAAAGGTTGACATCCCATCTTTTATAAACACAGACATATCAAAATAAGATCTACTGTATCAGCTAATTATGAGTCTGAATATTGCCATACTGTAACACTTGGGAGACAACCATCTACTCTAGAGTAGATTATGTTCAACAGCATGACATACTGTAAGTAACTGGCTAATGGGATGGACCAGTGGCTCTGTGGTTAAGGATCTCCGCCTGTCACTGGAAGCTTGCCGGTTTAAATCCCGCAGCCGGCAGAGGAATCCTACTCCATTGGGCCCCTTAACTGCTGTACAATGGCTGACCCTACACTCTCACCCCCAAGCTTCTCTCCCTCCCTGTCTGTCTCATGGAGAGCAAGCTGAATTTTATAGCCTTCAGATCATATTCAAAGCTACAAACATTCTAAGGTGGAGAATATTTTTTCCTGGGGTTTCTCATGGTGTAGCCACTGCAGTCCAAATGGGACAATGCAGATAGATCATACAGAACAGAAATAAAGATGGAAGTTCTAGAACAGACCACTTCCACGTACACTAGTTACTACCAGTAGAATTCATTACTTAAGCAGGAGATGTTGCAACTATATCAAATGTAGTTCAGATGGGTAGCTGCGTTGGCATACATAGGCTGCAAAGGAACAAGTAAATGGAGCCTTCTTCAGGTGTGAGAAGGACAGGGCAGTAAGCAAAGAATGTAGCATAGAAGAACAAAAGCTGGGAGAGAGGAGGAGCGAGAGGCGGGAGCAGGGGACAGAGTGGCTAATCAGGTAGTGTGAAGTCAGGATAGGTGAAGAGAGGTGTGAAATGAAACCTTATGCTTCTTTCTGTATAAATAGCCACCTTACATTTTTATAAAAAATAGTAAATTTCTTATCCCATGGAAAAAACCTAGCTGCTCACTATTTAAACTGTAAATAGCATTAGGTCATACAATGATTTGTAAAAATTACACTTTGTCCCATCCAGAGTGTATCCTACTTTGAGCTCTTTGCTTGCTAGGTTAGGCTCTGGCTTTCACGCAACCCTGTACTGGATCAAGCAATTTAGAAAACAAATGGATTGACCTAGCATTTGTATAATGTATATAATGAGTTGAGATTTCATGAACGAGACCTAATAACATTCTAATGAATGTAAGAGACCTGCCTTAAGAAGAGGTCAGTTTAATAGGATTAAAATAACCACCTAAGGGCAGCCCTGGACATGAACACAGCTCAATTAATGACAATGCTACTTCTGTTACAGTAAACAAACACATATTGTTTACACCTGCCCATATTAGCTGTAACCTACAGTACACTGAGCCCAGTAAATGTGACCTATAACCTCAGTAAAAGACTACAGGCTATTTAAAAAAAAACAGATCCTATTAAATTGGATGAGCTTGCATTAGAACACGTTTCCAATTCAATGTAGAGGCTCTATAAAAGAGAAGACTAGATATGACCTTTTCTTTTTCTGCAATGACTCTTCACTGAGATCAAACCTTTACTTGACTAAGGAACCATAGAACTATAGAATAATGCAGTGTTTATTTAATTGGACCATGAGTTTCAATCCCAACATTATTCTCACAGACTAGATTCATAGCTAGAAATAAATACTTAATGTGCGACTAGTACACTACAGTATATACACATCTGACCAACAGTGGTGATCACGGTTAGTTCCCCACCCCCCGATCCTGATCCTAATGACCCATACACCTGTTGGTATTTGTTCCAGTCCAAACCTCAGTTTGTCAATCAAACCCTCCAGTGACTTAGTGTATTAGGTCAAGTAAGATTCATTTGAACTGCTTGTGCTCAGCCCTTAAACATGTAGGAGCTTTAACCATTGTATTTTGCAAGTGAAATAAAACCCCCAATCTTGCGACTCAAAACAAAATGCAAATATTCAATGGAAGCAACTTCTTAGATCAAGCAAGGATTCAATTATCTAATGAAGGTGGAATGGAATGAAAGCCAGCAGGTGTATCACCAGGACCAGGAACCATTGTTCTAAGCTTAGAAAACACATTTATTCCTGAATTTTGGGAGAAGCCAGACATGTCAGCTGGTTTCCATTCCACCCTGGACTCTTATGGACTTGATTTGAATTGTTCACTTCATTTGTCTATTAACAATTTCCAGGTTGTTACTCACTGAGGATTTTAGGTTACCTAAAAAAAAACCCATGGTCTACAGTTACAGTATCTAGGATCAGGAGTGAATATTGGTCCAGTAAGAAACTTAACGGGATCACTATGAATGTTTTTTAAAAATTCAGGAGTCAAAAGAAGTGGTGACTGCGCTATTTGAATGTTACATACATGTGGAGAGGAACCACCAAGTTTACAGAGTATTTAATCAGGCTGGAACAAACATTTACACTCAATTTGATGTAATGATACCTTTAATAGCTCCCCATTTTGCAACACTTGAGGTTTAGCAAAATGCTACTTTTCTGCTCCAACAGATTACAGCAATTTAGAGTGATAAAATTAGAGACTTTTCTGAGGGTTTTGACAATTTTCCATCTTTTAGGGGACCTTTTTGTTCTCTTCACCTTGAAAAATATGGACATGGATCATTTCTATGAGCTACGGTCTCATTTACAAAAATAACATTTAACAAAAAGAATGGCATTGATAGTAATACAAATTTAGTTCATTAAAAAGTCCAATATAAGAGTGATTCTACATTCTTACCACAAGAATGAAAGTGGGGTATCTTTGAGCATTTGACAACTGCACTACAGAACAGAACAATGTTTTTTATTCTTCATGCAGAAATACTATAATTCTATGACAATCTTCAAATGGAATTATAGGAACTTTGTCACATTAACTACTAATCCTACTAGACTTGAATTCTGTAGGTCAACAAATCCTTTTAGATGTATAGTAGGGATTAGAAAGAAACTAATAATGTTAATGTTAAAGGAAGTAACAATTCAGCAATTATATTGGATTGGTAGAATGCATCAGATTAGCTGCTGCAGCACTTGACTGCTCATGCATAGTTTCTTGAGCTGATATGATCTTGTTTTTGACGATTCTGATCAATGGGAATTAAAGACTTTAAAGCATCCTCCAGGTGGCTGCACATTGGTGGTGGTGGAGGGGAGTCCCCATTACCTGTAAAGCGCTTTGAGTGGAGTTTCCAGAAAAGCACTGCAAGTGTAAGCAATTATTAAAAAGCAAGTGTGGATCATTTTTACCCAAAAACAATTCTTTAGTTTTTGTAGAATTAGGCAAGTCTGGTGAAGGCCTTAGGCAAATTGTTAATGGTCATAATACACATCTCAATTTTCCATTTTAACTTTCTATTCTGCAAAGCAGTATGAGAGTGGGAGTATACAGTATATTGATTATACTTAAGTACAAGTAACTGGCTCATGTCAAAACAACCCTGCAATTTTAAGTCATTCTAGTTTAACTTCCACATCTGCTCTACAACCTCCAGTTCTTTTCACTGAACTTTGTCTTGAAATGCAGTTAATCTCATACAAATGTAAGTTTCATTTACCAATTAATTTCACTTTTACCTCAGCACTTGCGCTTTCACATTTTACAAAAAAAACGTACCAAGCAAGGTATTGAATACCCCACAGCACAACCAACTTGTGACAATAAGTGAAAGTGATAAATGCCATGTTTGTTTTTTCTGAAATTACAGAATATTTCGGTAATGACAGAGAGAAAATGAACACCTGAGGTTTACTTACACTGTAAAATGATACAGGAAGCATTTCAGTCCACTCGGTCGCTCAAGGAAGTTGTAGACATCCCCCTGCATGCTAGTTTTGGTCAGGTAAGGATGGTGGAAGTGCTTGGGAGAGTAGTTCCTGCGGAGCTCACTGGCTGATGAGCGCTGGCTGTCGATCTGGAAGGCTGGGTCCTTTGTGTCTGTCTGCGGGCTAGAGGGAATGCCTGATCCATTATTCACCGCAGGGTCCTGTTCCAGTGAAACAGGAGAGTACCGCATGTCAGCAGGCTCCCTGCTCGTCTCCGGACTCTGAGCATTTCTGGAATGGCCATTGGGGCCCGTCACTTGGGCCGAGAGCTGAGCTCTGGTGCTGCCCGCCTTGTTGGAGCCAACATCATACATGGGGAAACCCTCCCCATCTCCCATGATGCAAGGATTAGGGAAGCCACAGAGTCCTCGTCAGGTAGATTCAGTTCAGAGGAAACCGGGGCCGAAGTTTCTCACTTTCGCCAACAAGTTGCCTCCGAGAATACAGCAGGAAGAAGTCCTTTTGTAGGACATGGACTCTTCAGAATGTGTCACATGCCAAAAACACACTGTGTTCCTAGAGGAAGAGATGCACAATGATTACAGATCATTAAAAGAACCAAAAGCTGTACATCCTATTATGACCTTTATGGAAGACAATATTGCATTAATACATAATTACAATAATTAGTGAATCTGTGCACAGATCTGACTATACAACTAGTAAATTTCACCTGTCAGCATTATCACCTGCTAGTCAAAGGTTACTTAATCAGTCACAAGACAAATGCTTTTATAAATTGTTCTAATAGCAGAAAACACCAGTGGACGTGTTCAGATTGCCGATGCTCATAACAAATTGGAACTGCTTAATTTCAAAAGATGAGTATTCTGCATAGTACTTTGAATTTTTTGATAATTTCCAGTTCATCAGATTAAAAAAAGGGAGCATAACATGTACTGTAGTTTAACAAACCAGAAAATTGATGTGATTTGCACTCAGACAATTATCACAAAGGACTTTTGGTGACTGACAGGCCAGCACCAGCAGAGACCTCAAAAGACAGGCCAAGCTCGAGTTCGCACCACCTCACTTGAGATCACTTCGTGTTAGTGGTTTAGAATTTAAAAATCCACTCACTGCGTGTTCCTCAAATACTGAGTAATTCAAAAATTGTAGTGCAAAAGAACCCACTTGGGAGGACCCCAAATTGAGATTATCAAGAGCCCCTCACAAAAATCTGTCTTCCGTGTGTCTAGGATGTTGGGTGGCCAACTGCAATAAAATACTTAGTCCACAAAAGTTGATTTACAGCACAGGATTGTTATAAAGCAAAGATGTCTAAGACAGTACAATAAATCCCAGAGACAATCTCTCTTTCTCCGAACTGCTATACGTGGAGTTGGAGCCTTGTTTTAATTAAACAAGCTCTTAAAGGCCTACATACAGAAATCACAAAGACATCAGTACCTTACTAACAATCACACCTCTCAAACACCTCTCAAACAAAAACCATCATGGATAAACATTTGTTTAATCCAATTTTCTAAAACATACCTGAGGGTAGCTAGTATATATTTTATGGAGTATAGTATAGACCACCTCCCCTCCTCACAGCTACATGGCACCCTGGTGTTTCAGAGGAAGAGTAACTGGATGTCCACCAGTTACTTCTTAAAGAAACATTCAACCTAAGCTAATGTTTCAGTTACATTCTCTGCTATCTTCCAGCCTCACCAATAAATACTCATACAGTATAAACAGCACTACACACCAGCAAATATATACAGTAGGCTTTTCTTTGTTATTCCCATCTGGATAGTAGACATCTTCTAGTAGCAAATAGACTAATAATTCCTTACACTTACAGTATATACCAGTTTTCTGGACACTCCACTCAAAGCACTTTACAGGTAATAGGGACTTTCCTACACCACCAATGTGTAGCTACCACCTGGATGATGTGATCACAGCCAAAGTGCACCAGTACACTCATCAGCTATCAGTGGGGAGGAGAACAGAGTGATGAAGCCAACTCAGAGATGAGATTAAGAAGCTATGATTCCTAGGGGCCAGGGGGAAATTTGGCCAGGACATTGAGGCAATACCCCTCTTATTTTAGGGAAATGGCAATGGAGAGTCAGGACCTTGGTTTTATATCTCATCCAAAGGATGGCACCTTTTTTACAGTATACTGTAGTATCCCCATCACTATAAAGAAGCATTAGGACCCACATACAGTAGACCACATGGTGATTGCACTTACTGGTCCAACTAACATCTTTTCAACCAGCAACCTTAGCTTTCCCCAAAGGTCTCCCATCCAAATACTGGCCAGACTCACATCTGCTGAGCTTCAGTGGGTGCAAATGGCAAGTTGCAGGGTGATCTAGCTACTGATAATTGTCCAGGATTTCCCCAAATACCATACTGTAAAACAACCAACCAAGTGCTATTGCTTTTGGTGAGGAACACACTTTTCCAATCACTGCTGAATATCCTGCAGGGGGCTTTACAGCCTGTAACATGCATGACTCAAGTCAGATGTGTAGGAAGACTCCTCCTACACAAAAGTAGAAATGTCCAGTTTGGTATAACAAAAATGGCTCTTCTGAAATTAAAAAAAAAACTTGAGGGAAATATTCCCCTGCCTTCCACAACCACCTCAATTTCTCAACTGAAACTACAGTACTTCACAAAAAAAAAAAGAAGTTGGCACACAGGTACTGCACCAACTGGGAATATGATAGCCCTGCACTAGCAATCAGCTGGCATGCTTTCCTGGCACCTACGAGCACTGTCCTTTTTGGACTATTTTGTTTCTGGTACTTTCCACAGCCCAGATTCGTGGAACTAGAGACCTGCCTGTTTATTCCTGGTAACTGGTAACACAAAATGTTACATACATCACAAAAGTTTCTGATGTATGATGGCAAAAATAATTACATTCTTATGCTTTTGATTTTTGAAGATTTGCAAGTATGGGGTATGTTCTCATTCTAGGTAGGGATGGGTATTTGGAGTTTTTCTAGGTTCCTACCATTACCTACCCACAAAAAAAAAATGGTTCCCAAAAAAACAAATCTTCAGAAATTGTAAAGGGATCCAATCAATAAAACCACTCGCTCTAAATGCTGGTTGTGCTCTAGGTCTTAAACATTGATAGTTGAAGTCTGGGTCTTGTCATTCAACAGATGTGACCAGGATTCCCCAGGTAGAGAGCCTGCAGGGGAATGGTTGGGATTAATCAGGACCCTCTCCATTCCTGGTGACACAAATTGCTGCAACTTTCTGGGACTCTGCAAGCTTTGCAACAACTTCAGTGAGACACACGCCCCCAAGTCACTGCAGAGCAATAGGAAGAAAACATGCAATTGACTACTCAAAAATTGCTCAACACAAAAGAAACTTGTTAAAAATAAAATGCAAAGCAATCCTTGGCAGCTGTTCTACTCCCTGACAAAGAAGTAGAGATTATAATCCACTAAGAAATGCGTTTTTGATAATCCAGTTCTCACAGCTGAAATGCAACCTAAGAGATACTGCCAAAAAAAAAAAAAACAAGGAAATGACAGTCTGGAAAACCTGTAATTTAGGACTTTTTCAGGCATCTACAAATCAAGGCAAATTAAAAACAAAATAGCTAAAGAGGGTAGGGGATGGATGGGAGTTTTGCAACTTCATTAATATAGTACTTGAAATTGGACTACATTTGCTGTACACTGTACAGAACAGGCTCTTCACTTGGAGAAAATAAAAACTGCATTTGTATCTCAGATGTAAAACAGTATTCATCCCAATTTAATGCAATATCAAATTATCAAACTGCTGAAAAATTCCAACTAAGTTTTTACGATTAATAACTTAGAAAACACTTTTATATCTCATAGAAATTGCCTTCCATTTCTCCCCAATTTATCAGAGGGTCCATTCTGTATTGAATAACCTGGATCAATTGCGATAGTTTTTTTTTTTAACATCATTGTTATAAAAGGAGTCAATGGTATAATACAACCCAAGTAATGAAGACAGGAATACTTCATATATGATGTTTGTACTGTACAACAAAGATCAAAGAGACTTAATGGAAGTATTTTTTAGCCTGACAGGATCAGGCCCATTTATGCCTACTGTGATGTGACAATCCTTAAGTGCACAACGAAGCAAAACTCATTCAAATATAAGAACCAGGATGTTAAGTTAAAAAATAAAATAGTTATGAAAGGCCTGGTAATTTTTTCTTGTAGTCCCCGATTTATCAAGATCACCACGAATAATGTTTGGATCAATAAGAGACTTTATCAAAACAAGTGGTCAATCGTCATCCGTTCCAGTGAATTATGTAAAGTGCACAAAGACGACTTTGTAAAGTCTGTCCCCCCCAAACACTACGCAATGGCTCAACAAGACAAATGGCTTGTTTTACTGTACTACTGAAGGCATAAAAGGTAATAGAAACCAGTTTTTCCCTCGCGTGTCTGTCCTGCAACTTGCCCGTTGTGATGACAGCTAACGGCAACACTTTCTTTGATATGTATTCGGTTTCTTCTCCGTATTACACGTGAAGGACACCCTGTAGGCGAGATCAATTTCCAACAGGGATTCCTTGGAAACCGTGCACGATTGTTTTTTTTTTTTTACAATAAAAGTGGCTGTCAAACAATCGAATACAATGCCCCGATTAATCAGCAAGGTTAATAAACACCAACTGAAACAAAGAAAACAGCAGTTTTCCATTAATCCACTGAAGTAAAATAAGACTATTTTTACTTCGCCACAGTTATAGAATCATGTACAATATAATAAGTGGCTGCTATACCATGGCTTTTCGAGCACAAAGTTAAATCAAAACCTTCCCATTCCCCAACTTTACCCTGATACAATAGCATTCTTTCAAAAGTTGTCTACAAACAACTTACAGTATGAAAGTATCCGAGAGGGAAAATAATTTTAAAATCTTTATAGCAGTATGTAGACACGGTTTTTGCCTTTAAACGATTGAAACAAAACCAATAACAGAAATACCCATAAACTCATTTGGATATTAATTTTTAATTGAGAGGGTCACATCTACTGTAAGATGTTCCTCGATGGAGATAGTAGTTAAATTTTACTAGCTACAAAATATCAATGGTTACCGATTTCGAGCAAACCGTTGTATTATCGCCAATACATACTGTAGCGTTGCCCAAATGCTTTCTCTTAAAACAAAGATGAATCGGTTCTAATTTCTTATTTCGTTTATTCGTGCTGCAAAAGAAATAGCGGCATACTGTAGAAGGTCTGAGGACTAAATAACGTTCACCCCATTCATAAGTTGACTTGAAATAACCGTATCATGTCAATATCTTTATCATTTTAAAATCAAACGAGTTTTCATCCCAGGATTTATAGCTCGCAAACAATATGCTTAAAACTAAATCCCCTGTGATGTATTCGATGACGTTATGCGATGGATGGTGAATGCAAGATTAAGATGAGTTAACTGGCAGTGAATGTATTCTCGTCTTTGAATTAATGTAAAATCGTGTGTGCCACAAGAAAAAGCTAACTTTACTAGTTCACGAAATCCTATTAAAGTGGACCGGATTGTAGCTTTATTTCGGTTGATTGGGTTTTTATAGTGAATCATACTGTATATTAAAGTTTTAACAAGGCACAAAACGAAACATGAAAAACGTATACTGTGTACCTGCACACGTACTGTACGGTAATTGCTCCAAAATTACTGTATATCACATCAGTTATCGTATTTTCATAATATATGCATTATATCAACATCTAAGATATACAGTATAAATTATTAGAAAACGGATTTACCTTCGTCCGTGTTTTTAACAAATTCCGGAGGCTGAAAACATGATTTCGCCTACCGCAGGAACAGGACAAGACTAAACTGAGACCGGTAGAAATCATCAGTTCAGGACCGTGGAGAGCGAAACAAAGATCATCCCAGGCAGTCTTCGTTGTATACACATCTCCCTCCCTCTCTTCATGCGGTCTCTTGTGTAATATTTCTATCTTTTAGATCAGCAGCTGCTGATGTTGATAAACGTTAGAGAGAGACCGCATGCGGACAGATCTTTTCAGCGCGTTGTGTTCGTACCTGATGCATCGAACTACTGTAGGAAGCTGCACAGCATTTCATTTTAGTGCTTATTGGACATTGCACCCGTTTTGTCTGGTAAAACGCTTCGAAATGCTAACTTTAGGTTATAACTACAGGCAAGTCACTGTGTACCACAGTTTTACAAAGACGAGTACGCAATTCTCACAATAAAACGTAAGTATACCATCACCAGCTTCGAAGTTAGTCACAGGCAGTTTATTTTGGGGGGCGAATTCCCTATTTTGGTTAATTTCCTTTTCTTTACCTGCAATCTTTTCTGATGTGCCCAGCACATTGTAATAGAAAGATTATCTAGCGAGATACTGTAGCTCTCCAGCTCATTTGATAGTAGATAACTGATGTGAGGATTGTTTGATCTCATGCAACCATTTTCTTATTCCATGGAAGCTTGTTCCACACCCCCCAACAACCTTGTAGTAAAAAGCACCTTCTGTCTTGGGGGTGGGGGTTGCATACAAACTATTTTAAAGCCTCTTTTTAGGAGTGACATGTACAGTAACAACTGCTGGACCACCCTTGGAGAAACCCTAGAATCCCAGTTCAGTCCATTGTCATAAATACATACCCCAAATGCTTTACTTATAAGACATTGCACTAAAACCATGTCAATGTACTAATGCATGCTTTACAGAGCACCCCTAAAATCATACTTCTCTTTTGGGTAACATGGACACAACAATTGTACTGTACACTATTCTATGCAAGATCTGTTACTTTGTAATAATTAAACATCTTTTGACTGATCTATACACCAATACTGTACACTGCTTTTTTAACTTCTCATTGTCTAAAAGATGTCAATAATTACTTACATTTATGCAAACTTTTAACCCCAAAGGATCGCAAAGCACGCAAGGGGGATGCTTGGCAGACTATGTTCCATAGCATAGCAGATCAGGTAGATCCGGGAGGAATTATCAGTTGGGAACTTGAGTTGAGTTGAGTTACCCTGGACTTACAAATTTAAAGTGGAATTGAACCACAACTCTGGTGTTAATACTCTTACTTTTTCCCCCAAACATTGTCTTGAAACTTTGACTACATCAGGGAGCTGAAGTCAACATCTCATCAGAAAGGCAGCACCCTCCACAACAATGCATCCTATCCACATACTGGGGTACAGCTAATAGGAATTAGGCCCCAAGGAAAGTTCTCACCTATGACCGCAAAACCTCCAGTGGCAACAATGCTCCCTTTGGCACACCCATCTAGGACTGATTTTGTCTTGCATTGATGTACCAAGTCAAGCAAGTCCTTCCCCACCCCCCTCCCACCACTAGCAGCTTTTTCAAACTCAGGGCTCACCATTGTACAGTAGCTCAATTCCATTGGGAAATCACTTCCTGCTCTGCACTCTTTCCTATTTCAAATTTAACCAGTTCACCATTCCAGATACTGAATTATCACTCTGACCCTATTGCTTATAGCATGCAAGAGTTTCTTACGAAGAACGCCATCAAGAGCCTTCTAAGAATATTAAGGAAACACACCACATGAATTCATTCTATCCACTGCTGTTGCTGCTTGGATCCTAATTCCATTTAAATTATAGGTGCATCCATAGACTTGCATGCAAAGAGCAAAGTCTTTGCTACACTTCTATGGGCAAGTGCTCCAGTTCAACAGAAATTTAGGTTTTTTTTGGGATATCTTAAGATACTTCTGGAACAGTTACTAATCTAAAGAAGACGTTGTCCATAAATCTCCAAGGTCTGATCAAATTGTTTTCAGACACTTCAGTAACTAGTACTTCTACTGTTCAAGTTAATAGACAAATCTTCCTTTACTCTTCTCAACGTTAATTTCCTCTTTGCTAAACATTTTGGTAAAATTGACAATACTGCAGTTATTTCCTTTATGCGGTCCAAGAAATAAAGAAATAAGCTGCCTGTTATCTCAGAGACGCACCACAGAAGTTCAAAGGATTGTTCTTTTCCCGTTTCAAAAGTGAAAAACGTAACTTTAGTTTTTTGCCTCTTAAACCTTCTAATATTCTTTTGTTCACAGTCTGTCCATATGTTAACTATTGCACATGCTGTTTAATCATTGCATAAAGTTTTTTTCTCAATACATTTAAGTTATTTAGGTTAGTGCTATTTGAGACCAATTTACTTGATGAATTGTAGTTTGTCAGGCACCATATTCACAAGCCAATGACACAGAAAAGGTCCCAAACTGACTGTTATGGAAGGGAGAAACTTAGCAGAAAAGAAAAGGCTGATGTCAATGGCTTATGACTAGTTGTGGTACAGTAACAACCCTGGGTCACACTCCATTGTGTTCCTTGACCAACCTAACACTACCAAAGCACAACCTTTCCTTTGTGTGTCTTAACAGTTGTGCAAGAGAAAGAGGCCAGTTTAGGACCCCCCTGGGATCATAACTCACTCATTTGTCTTTTTTCAGGGACAATAATATGGACCATTTCCATCTGCTGGACTAGTCTCACACTCAACCCTCATTCTACAGCTTTTAAATTAACAGGCCATACCAAAGGCAACCACAATTTTGGTTGTGAACTCAGCTCTTAAACCTTCTATTGCATGGAAATGGGTAGCCACACAGTTTTGGATTCAATTGGCTGCCAAGAACTCAGAATTCATAAAACAGGCAGTCTTATCAATAAGCGGCACAAGTTCATTTAAGCAGTCATGTTACTTTTTGTGGGCAGTCTCCATTTGCAATAGCAAGGCTCTGGGTACCTCCACACATTAATCACTCTGTACTCTGCAAGACCCTAAGTTTTGGATTGTTTATAACTTTTGTTTAACCCTTTAGCTAACATATAAGGCAGCTAACCATTCTTAAATACCTTCTTACACAGATGCTACTACCATTGCTATTAGCTACCTACACTCCCCAAACAAATACTAGTAAATAGCTAACCCCCCCCAACACCCCTTATATACAATAAAAAAATCTACCACCCACGTGAAAATTCAAACACCCCAGGCTGTTGATCAATTAAGCACTATGTGAAAATATAAGTATTCCGTTTGGGCGACTACGGGTAGACGCGTGTGGAACTCTGCCACTCCATTCTCACGCTGAATGAATTTCACAGCAACAGTGTCAAAATAGATACAATTATTAAGAAAAATTACCGATCAAAATGACTCTGCGTCGATTTCAGAGATTTAAAATAATTTAATATATTTTTTTCATATTATGTTCTTGTTTCCCCAAATAACCTAAGGCAGACGTGTGGTATAGTAGTTAATTTTAGGTAGAGGTTTATATTCTTCCTGATGATCCATAAACGGTTAGGCAAAATAAGTTACTTATCACATATTAATTAATTATTATTATTAATAATAATAAGTCAAACTTATTAGCTCACACCTGAAGAAGGCTTCACAGCCGAAACGTTGGGTTTTCTTGCTTCTCTTTTCAGCATGGAATAAGCCTATTACTTGTTCCTTTGCATAAGTTAAACTTATTTGTCTACTTCTATTCGCTTTCCTTATTTTATTAAGTCGTGTACCAGATTACAGGCGTTTTGAAGTGGGTTTGTTTAGATTTTAAAGAAAACTATCTGAAAAAAATATTTAAAATGAATCTGCCGTAATTGTACTTTTAAAAGTATTATTATTATATACAGTACTGTAGTTAATGCCTGCCATTGGGGGGCGTATTGAGGTGAAGTCAGACTTTCTTCTAAGTTTGTCCGCGTCGGCCTGCCGTAGTTCAACAATGGCTACTTCTACAATGTGTACAGCAGCTTCGTCCTTGTACCGTATAAATTGTCATTTTTTGGGAATGCATACATTAAATCCCATCTACAGAGGTTCTGTTAATTCCACGGCACGCTTCCTCAGTACGAATACAGGTGAGTATCACAGCTGTAGTTGTGTAAGGTCGTGTCATGGCTTTTACTGCCACGATATTGAATGAGTAGAGGTGGTGGCTCAAAAAAAACCGTATAAGAATATGCTTGTACTGTATGTAATATGTCCTTTTTGAGTTAAAAAAGGGACTGAAGTCAGTTTTCAGAGTATTTGTGGAAACAACGCTTTAATTGCATGAATATGTTTAAGTCAGATTTTAGACTGTGTACTGTAGTTGTACGTAATAGTTAATAGAATTTACGTTTCTCTTTCGATTGCTCTTACCTTTATGCTGTCTATGGCTTAGCATGTTGCCTATAGACCATCTTACGGTATTATATGCTGTTGTTTTAACACTTCCTTTGTGATAAATCATTTCAAACGCTGACGCTTGAGGTAGTCTGTGCAAACCAAAGGGGAAATTGATACCAGAAAGTACACTGTATAGACTAATGGTCGTATCTAGCAAAATAACGTTTTTCTTCTATAAATAGGCGTTACAACAAGGGGCAGCCGAGGGCACCTGGGACAAAGATCAAGAAGAGAGGTGAGAAACATCTTGTCTGTTGTTTAAGTTGTATTCTTCCACTGTTTTGTAACCCACAAACCTTTGCCCTGACAGTCATGGAAACAGCTAAGATTTATATGCCATGTGGAGACGGAAACCGTCTTAACACTGTTCAAGCTCAGCAAAATGTGCAACTAGTTATGAGAGAGAATCCATTCCAACTGCCTTTATTTTTCCAGTTTTGATCTGCAGTGCCTTCTGCATGTATTGGGGCTACTAGGGCAACACTTATTTTTACATTGTTAGTTTTAAAATAAAGTAATCATGAGGTTAATATGAAGTGTGCAACAACTTTTAGACTAATTCCATGCATGCATTAATCATATCAGGACAAAAGCATACTTCATGCTTGATCCAGAGATTAAGATCATAAGCATTAAGGTACATTCAGATCTACTTCAGAGTGTAAACCTCAGTATTTGCTTGTATATCCCTTTAAGGCAATAAGTACATGAAGTCTGTGACCCATTGAATTTATAAAACTTGTGCTTGAAACTTGAAATGCTGTTCTAAGCCTCCACTGCAGTCCCTTTGAATGCTTGCCTGTTTACAGATTTCATTTTCCTTAAGCAAAAACTAAAATGTGTTCTCACTTTGATTACAATCGGAGTATTGACTTGGCCAGACAGATTTGTCACTTTTTCTTCCCCTCATGAAAAACCCGATAGCATTGGCCATATTTTGAGTGATGCTACATGTGGTTTCTTCTAATTATTTTCCGTTATCATTAGGATTAGGTTAAGTGATCCAGTTTCCATAGGTAGACATTCATCCATGTCCAGTCCATTACTTCCACCATGCTTCACAGATGAGGTAGATATATTTGAAGCGTGTTCCATTCTTTTCATCACATGTTAACCATTCCATAACTTTGGTTAAGTTTGATCTTGGTCTTATCTTTGCATAACACTTTTGTTTAATTGACTAAATCTGCAGAATATTTAAATTAATCTTGTGGAACTATGCATGCAGATTTGGAGATTACAGTAATGGCCCCAATTTAAAAAATCTACAGTACACAATTCCAAAATAGTTTAACAACAACTTCATGGTAAGAACAGTGAAGCAATAAACACAAATTAACCTGTGAGAGAGTTTCTCAGTTTAAATTAAAGGATTTCTTCATAAATTCAGTCGTAAAGAGCATATATTTTCCCCAATCAGTTACAATATGTTAACATTCAGAAAACCACTTGGTAGCATTTCTAGATATGAGATGCTTTCTTCTGTGGGTGGATTAATGTTTATTTAAACTCTTAATATGAGTCAATAATCAAAATGTAGTGAGGACTGAAATCTGTAAAATGATTCTTTTCTACGTAAAAATATAGCGTGGAAGACGCAAACGTCATGTGGTGCATTAGGCTGTTTGTTTTACTAGATCTCCTTAGAACAGTTGTGTCATTTTGAGCCATTAACTGTGTGATTTACCCGATCTGAGATCTGAACCATACGAAGATACTCTTCTTAATCAATTCATGACATGTTCGTGCACAGCCTGGAGAGCCCAGGACTGAAAAGATGGCGGTGGACCAAGACTGGACCAGTGTGTACCCTACGGCAGCACCTTTCAAGCACGGCACAGTGCCTTTGCCCGTGCGTATGGGCTACCCTGTCAATAGGGGAGTTCCCCCAGAGAAGAAGGGAAATCTGGAGCTCATTAAAGTAAGTGGATTGCTTCCCTCACCCTGGGTTGCATACTTGTGTAGTTTGATCTTTTTCTCATGCCTTCTTTCTGTTTTTGCATCATTTAATCATTTTTGCTTTGTCTTCATGAGTTGGTCGAGGGCAGTATTAGAAAATCTGTTAAACTCAATTTACATGTTTTGGCAAAAAAAGAAGCTAGTGTTGCTGATTTTGCCAGATTTAACACATTTGTTTCAGTTTTATACTTAAAATTATGTAACACATTTTGTTAATTACTAAATACAGTACTATTAAAGGCAGTAAAAACCAATGTCCTTAAGTTTTAACATTTGTTTACATTTTTTTCCCCATAAGGGTATTTTGTACAAGAATAATATTGCCAATATCCTTTGTTGCTGTTGCATTTTCATGTTTCTTTAATTTGTAAGGAGATCTTTGCAATTGATTTTTGTTTCAGCTTTGAGAATTTAAGACTTTAAAAAATATAGAAAGCAGTCATTGGGTCTTCTCAATATTCCACTGCCCCAAGTTACAGTAGATTTGTCTGGTGCTGCTAACACCATTAGTTTGATTTTAAAGTAATAAAAAGATTGACCAGCAAGAGAGAAGCAATATTGTGATGCAGATAGCATATAAACAACAGTTGTTGCTTCTGTAGTGTTTCCCTAAGGTTCTGCAAGTTCAGAAGGAGAAAGGATTGTAATCAGAAATTGCGACATTGTGTACAAAGATTATTATTTTTTGGACCCCAGTTTGGGCCTAGGTTGTGAATAGTCACAGGACAGAAAATCTTTCAGTTGTACTTACTTTTTTTTTACCCCAAAAAAATATCTTTCAGATTCCAAACTTCCTGCATTTGACGCCAGCAGCTATAAAAAAACACTGCGCAGCTTTAAAACGTGAGTAAAACTTTACATCATTTTGGAGAGCTCATTTGCCATGGTCCTGGAGGATCACTCTTCTACTGTTTTGTTACAGTTAACCTCTCAATTATAAAAATAAACCCTTAACAGACTTCATTTTAATTATGTGGTTGTCATAATTATTGCATTTATTTACATACATATTGTGAAAATTCCATACTTCTGAATAAAATTAAACATTCAGATCTGCCAGTCAGACACATTGATAGTTCAATTAAGGTTTCACTTGATTGATTCAAGCTCATCTAAAACTAAAACCAGCAGGCACATGGGCTTTCAGGACTAGGGAGGGGAACCCTGCCTTAGATTACTGGCCTCTTTAAAACATATATATACTGTATGTGGAACAGAGTCTTTAAAAAAATCCGTTGTTTTAAAGAAGGTCTTAAATATTAATTTTCTGGGTGATGCATTTCATTATACTGAGACAGCTACTGAGAATAATATTATAGCCATTGACAATTATACTTGTCAAGAACTGTAATGTCAGGTAGTCTGACGCCACAGGATTCTTCACAAAACGGTGCAATTTGTAATGGACCTATAGTTACAACTACTAGGCAACAACAGCTACAGCTTCGTAAGTCTGAATCTATACTTCCCTATTTCTAGCGTTCTGTACAGAGTGGCCTGAAGCTTTGGACAGCAGCGCTAAGTGTGAGGAACACTTTCCTATCCAAGTGAAGACCACAGACTATGTGTCGGCAGGACTCTCTCTTAGGAACCCAAAAGCCAGAGTGGTAACTCTGACTGTAAGTATAAACATTGGGTGACTTTTGGCAGCAGGCTTTAAGCTTTGTTTAAATGCAGAGGTGTCTTGGACCTGGAGGGATGTTGTGTTTGCAAGTTTAAAAAGTTCTCCTTAGAGTAGCAGCACCTGAAAGGGCTAGGAGTTGTTAAATTGGTCCAATTAAGGCAGTAACCAGCTGGTCACTGCTGGTCAAGTTGGAATGAAAGTTTTCACAGCTTGAAAAGTTGATGGCTCCAATATGCACGTGCCATGATGATACGGACTGTAAAGAAATATGGTCCTCTCGGAACTCTGTGCTGCCTTTACCTAGTTTAGGATTTAGGATTTAGGATTCTCTCCCCTAGCATCTGTAAAATGTGAATTTTCTGAACAAGTTTTGCCTTAGCTCACACGTGAAGAGCCCATTGTCATACCACAATACTTTATTTTGCATGAAGTACCTTAGTTAATGACATGGTCTTATCACAACCTAAGAAACCATCTAAAAAGAGTGGTTTGTTCAAATCTATGCAGTGATGTGACAGCAGCCATTCTTGAATTCCTTTATAAATATGACATCCTTAAAGGGAAACTGTGTCTGTTACCATCTCAGAGCTTAAGACACAAAGGACATTCCCATGCACATATATATTGTTTCAGATTAAAACGTCAAATTTGAAGAATTCTACACTGAGTATTTTTAATCACTTCAAAAGTTATTTTTCAAACACGTCGTTTACATGGATACATGCTAAAAGTAACCCAAAGGTCAAGGTTTAGAGCTAACCTTAAGTTAAAATCGTCTATGCACTAAAAACAGCTGCCTTAAAGAGGATTGTAGCATTAATCTACAGGTTCAATCCAGCTGGTTTTATTCCACAGGAAGCTGTGTAATTCACTCAGTATATACGAGACACTCATTTTCCCTTGTGGGGAATAATCTTGGAGAAAATATTCCATTTGGCACATCACTTTGCCATTATCCCCCTATTTCCAAGAGGTGTATACAGTGCCCTCTATAAGTATTGGGACACTGAAGTCAAAATCATTATTTTCTGTATATTTGAATATGAGGTGAAAGATGAATGAGGCAAAGTACAGAATGTCACCTAGTATTTCTTGGTGTTTCTGTGCTTATACGTTATGCCATTTTAAAATAGTTGCACTTTTGGTGTTCAATCTCCCCATTTCAGGTGAACATAAGTATTGGGGCAATTGGGTGCCAGGTGTTTATCATCAGTTGGGTGTTTTTGTCTTGCAGATTATGCATGTAAAAGAGCTGTTAATGTGAAGTGTTGGATTTAGCCTTTAATCTTCCCTTTGAGGTCAGTAGGTCTAAACCAACATGGGGGAAAAAAAGAATTCAGTTAGAACTATAGCAGAGAAACTGGCATAACAAAAAAAAAAATCAACAAATCTGAATATCTTGAAAGAGAAAGAAACCACTGGTTTACTTAGTCAATGACTAGGTTGGCCTAGGAAACCATGGCAGTTGATGATAAAGATCAGAGCTGTGAGGAAAATCTTTTTAAACAGTTGGCACTGAAATTAGCTACCTCCAAAATACGGGGGTGAAGGGGTCACAATTTACACCTGCCAAAGTCTTTTGTTAACAGTAGGCTTTAAAATTCTGTCGTCATCAGCAGCCAACATAGATTGCAGAGGCCAGATTGCAGTTTGCTAAAAAGTACAGAGATGAGCCATTGCAGTTCTAGAACAGTGTGTTATGGACAGATGAGACCAGGATAAACCTCTACCAAAGTGATGGCAAGTTGAAAGTATAGAGAAAGGAACGAACTGCAGACCAGAAAATACCTCCAGACTCATTGGTCAGCACTGCATCATGCAGCAAGAAAATGACTAAAAAAAAACTGCCAACACAACCAAGGAGTTAAGATCTTCCACCCCTTTTTCTCTTAAAATGGGCCAAGTCAATCTCTTGATTTAAGTCGAGCATGCATTTCACTTGCTGAAAAGGAGATTGAAATCAGAAATCCCCCAAAACGAATAGCAACTGAAAATGGCTGCAGCAAAGCATCTCTAAAGAAACCAAGAGGTTTGTCAATGGGTTGCTGGTTTGATGCAGCTATTGAGTGCAAAGGATTTGCAACCAAATACTAAGTTCTATACGGCTTTAAGTAACTTTGTCCCAGTAACTATGCTTGCATAAAATGGGGGATGGAACACAAAACATGGTACTGTTCTAAAATGTATATACACTAACAGTATAAAATGTGATATTCTGTTCCTTTGCCTTATATTCATCTTTTCATCTCATCTGAATTACTTGAGTAGCAATCTTGACCTTAATAAACAGTGTCTTTTAAAAACTACTGGCACGGTAGTTTTACTTTAAGTAAACAATTAGAAGTCTAAAGTCCTTAAATGTAGTTGTTTTGCCTGAAACATGTGGTTTTACACAGATAATAAGCAGTGTAGTGTTTTAGCACAGGTACAGCATTTTGTTTCTAGCAATCCATCCTGCACACTTAAGAAATATGGAAGACATGACTAGTAAAAAATAGTATGCAATTAATAAAGAGCTTCTTGGCTGTGAACCCTGACATCACTGTGCTATGCACCATTAAATATTATTTCATATAATGGGCCAATAGCGAATGCATTTTTGTTACAATCTCATGGATATCAAAAAGGCGTGTTATAAGAGCTTTTGGATCCAAAATATCCACATACTCTATCCATATTACATCAGTGTTATGGAAGCTTTAATTTGTCCTGCCAAGTTTTGCAGTGAATAGTATGCATTGTTTATATTAAGCATGCGTCCCTTTTAATATTGTAATGTAAAGCAGTGCTGAGTCATTCTTTGAAGACAACCGGAGAAGCCAGAAAGTTTTTATAGCATTATCTGCTTGATTGTTTTTTTACACATTTGTGGAGATAAAATGTCTCTCCATTGTCCTATGATTTTCAATAGAACTAGTCTTCCCTAGTGTCCACTTAGCAAGAAATAATACCATGTATGGGGATATACTGTTTTAACTCACCCTGACACTCATTAATAAGCCGTAGCAGATAAATCACAATGAGCAACAAATAAGAACCAGGACTGCATTTGCATTTTGAAGGTCAGGTTGTCCAGCCTGAACATCGATGACCATGCACGGAAGAAGCTCATTAAACTTGTGGGAGACCGATACAACAAGAAGACAGACATGCTTACCATCACCGCAGACAGGTATGACATGTGGTAGCACACACCACCTCCATAACCTTGTTGGGAAGATTGTCTGGACCCATGCTATCCAGCTCTTTTAAAATGTTTTCTCCAGTTTACAAAACTTTTTTTGTTCCACATTTGTCTGTACAAAGCATGTTCTTAAGACAGTAGTGTGGTTATGCCCCACCTGCAAAATGTTAATTTTCATGTCTTACCATTTATCAAAATGTTTTATTTATCAGTTTTGCCAAAGGTATTTGTATTGTACAGAACCCCCCCCACCAGTCACCTGATGAAATTATATCTTGAAATTATATCTTGCCTTTGTATTATTTGATTATACAAGCTGAGCCAAAGGTTTTACAATTATATGGCAAACCTCTGTTTGTCTGACACAATGCTTTGTCACAATCTGTTGAGATTAAGCCTGTTTGATGTTGTGTATGTTGATTTTAAGATTCATAAATCAGTCACAGAGCTAAAATGTGGAATATGTAAGATACCAAAATGTACTTGTTTTTCTAGGTGTCCACTGAGACAGCAGAATAATGACTATGCAATGTATCTCCTGACTGTTTTATATCATGAATCCTGGGTAAGGATGTTTCTTTTTGCCTCTGAAGTTCTTTTACCTTCAATTAAATATTTTTTTAAATCTACACGTTATATTAATTTGGTAGTTTTACCAAATGTATTGGTATAGCACAGAAAACTGTTTTTGTATTATTTGATTATACAAGCAAGTAAACACTTACAGTTGTTATTCACTAAATTGGTTGCTTTTCTCAGTGACATTTTACATCTCAAACTGGAATTGAACACCTACCACAAGTACACAAAAAGTAAATACTTAGTAAATCAAATTCTGAAACCATTTACCTACAATTATACTGTATAAAATACACCGCTAAACTGCTACTGTTTATCACCTTATTAAATCTATCTGACACAGTACCACATGTAACATTTTAGTTTATTTTTCAAAAACGGATTCCAGAAAAGCAAGATTTCTGTAGACAAACATGGCTTTTTATTACCCAGAAACACCAGCTAATGTGTATTGTGCTTGTACGTAGCACAGGCATTATTAGTTTAATTGAAGACTGAAGTTGGTAAATGAAACCCAACTGTTTTTTAAAAATTGTCCTTTATAAGCATATAAAGATAGTCAGTGAAACTTAAGGGCACCACTCCTCAAGTTACCAAAAGTGGTTTCAGTAGAATTGTCGAAGTCCTGGGATGTCCTGACCTGGTCCTGGGGGGACATAGTGGCAGCAGGTTCTTCATTTCAGCTTGTTTTTTTTTTTTAACGCTGTAAACCAGCTGGTTACGGACTTAGCTGGACCAGCTCTTCAGGTCCAGCTTCAAAGCTGCTGCTTTGACACCGGCCAAACCGAGACCAGGATTGAACAACTTATACCAAGATATTAATTTGTGTCACCTAAACTGATTAATGCCCATACAGATCCAACAAAATGGCTGTTCTTTGATTTCCCCCCCAAAGCTGAAGGCTTGCACCTTTTTAAGCAGTTTCTCCAAAAACCCATGTGGTTAAAAAAACGGGTCCTTAGAACTCTAGGAGATCCCTAAAAAGAGAATGAAAACGCTCCATTGCATTTCTGGTTACATGGAAAAATCTGCTATGGACAGCATTAATGATTCTACCAACACACAGTTGTTCTTTTAAAAAGTTTAGTTAACAAACATTATTTGTAGTAATAAGACATAGATCTGACTATTCAAGAGTCAAGTGTAAATAGGGGGTTCTTTTTCTCAAAACGCATTTTCCTAGCTTGAAAAAACCTTGTTTTCCAACCTATAAGCCATGCGTTTGCACTTTCACCTTCACCTTTGCAGCCTTCTCCAGTTAAGAGTGTTCATAAACCCGTTTAATTGCTCAAAGACTAGGAACCAATGCTCGTAGGAAGTGCTGACAGATTCAAGTTTCCAGTCTGAGAGAAGAGCCGGTATTGAAAGAAAGCCTTACTCCTTGCACTCGTTTACAGGCAGTCATCTTCCTGTGCCTCTAACATTACTGGGTTACACAGAACGTGGTTACCCGATACATTCTGGCTGATGGCTTCCCAGGGATTGAATATACACATTAAAAGCTTCTTGGTTAAAAGGCCATCTTTTTGTAACCTTTCAGCAACTACATGAATATTTCACAGGGGCATCAATCACCTGTAATTGTGTTTGATTCCCATAAAACATTAACTGGGATTGCTGTGACACGTGTGATTTTTTTCCATGGTCGTTGTAATCCCTTTGCTAACAGACTCAATGAAAAGATGGCAGCATTACTCGGAGCTGAAGTGGCATCCGCAGCGCCAGTTTTTAAATTGGAGCGGCACTAATCCCCTTACCTGCCCTGTCTCCGAGCCAAAAAAAAAGATGTAAAAACAAAGGAGAGCACAACATTGTTTACAATCACAGAATATACACTGCCGGTATCAACGTGGAAAATCCATTTAGTTATGTGAATGTTCAAGGCTTTTTTTTTTGCCAGTGTGGTCATTGCATCTAAATCCCAGGGGGACTGTAAAATGTAGCCGCCGTTTTAGAGGAAGGTTGCAAAATTAGTAAACTGAAAGAATCCCTTTTTTGTTCTTAAAACTGAAAACAAGAAACATCATTAAATGATCTATTAAGTGCATCTTTTAGTTGGAGATGAATATATTGTAGTTGAACTATACTCTTATCTCTTAGAACTTGTTTTAGAATTCTCTCTTAGAACTTGTGCAGCCATATCACTCTGCAACTCACAACTGGCAACCCACTGAAGCTCAGCAGGTGTGAGCCTGGTCAGTACCTGGATGGGAGGCCTCCTGGGAAAAACTAAGGTTGTTGTGGAAGAGGTGTTAGTGGGGCCAGCAGGGGGCGCTCACCCTGCAGTCCATGTGGGTGGTAATGCCCCAGTATAGTGAAGGGGACCCTATACTTTAAACAGGTGCCATCCTTCCGATAAGACAAAACCGAGGTCCTGACTCTCTGTGGTCATTAAAAATCCCAGGGCATTTCTCGTAAAGAGTAGGGGTGTAACCCTGGTGTCCTGGCCAAATTTCCCATTGGCCCTTACCAATCATGTCCTCCTAATAATCCCCATCTATGAATTGGCTTCATTACTCTGCTCTCCTCCCCACTGAGAGCTGATGTTTGGTGAGCATTCTGGCGCACTATGGCTGCCGTCCCATCATCCAGGTGGATTCTGCACATTGGTGGTGGTGGAGGGGAGTCCCCATTACCTGTAAAGCACTTTGAGTGGAGTGTCCAGAAAAGCATTATATAAGTGTAAGCAATTATTAATTATGAATTAATGGATATTCTGTACAGTCCTGCATTTATAGACATTGAAAGGCTCCATTCCCAGTGCAGTCATTGTAATTCCTTACAATTCCTGTAAGGAATTGCTGCAATGGTGCATTACCACTTTCATTTCTAATTAATGCAGCAAATAAGGATTTAGCTGGGGCTTTTTACGTGATGTAAAAATACTCTACTTGGTTGCTTCACTTAAAAGAATAATAGGGTGATGCATACAGTACACAGTGTTAATGCTTCTGGGATACATTGGCAATTATACCATCAGCAGAACATCATCAAGGAGTAACTCAATCACCAAGACGCATGTTACTATTTAAGTGGAGAAACTGGAGACAGGCAGCAATGATGTGCCAGAACCAGTTACTGAGCTGACAAGTGAGTGACATGTTGCAGGTCAGGCGCCGGGCTCTTGTTTGATTGAACAAGCCATGCGAGAGTACTGCCCTTATGTCTGATGGAGAGAGTAGTATAATCGCTGCTGGTTTTTGGACCTAGTGACAGCGACATTCCATTTAGTGGGAAAAAACGGCCGCAGGCAAATAGAAAAAAGGGGGCAACGTTGTGCAGTCTTAACCCATTTAAGAACACATTGACTCAAAAGAAATATAAAAAAAATCTGATTCATTCCAAGAGCCAGTTACTGAACATGAACCAGTTGAATTGAGGTACTTTCTGATGAATTTCAATAGTTTGACGCCATACATTAAGTGTCTGTTTCATAATACATTGAAACATAACAGCTCACGTGGATATAGTGTTGGTAAATTCTACTCGTTGCATGATGTATAAAATGCACATACGTGTTGAACTAAATGAATTTCTTCCTGAACAGAATTATATATCTAAAAGATCTGGTGCATTCGCAGAATAAAACCCATAACTGTAAAAATGATTGATCAATCAGCCTGGCAATAGTGAAAATTTTATACAATGTTAATTTGGAAATCAATTTTACAAAACCTTTGAATGCAGAATTCTATACTTTAACTAGTACAATACCATCATAGCTACTGTTAAGTTAACGACAGCCAAGATAAAGGATAAATGAAGCTGGAAAGATTAGGTACACATATGGAGCTTTTGTATTAGCAGGGGAAGTTAACTCCCATCCATTTTCTAACCACTTTATCCAATTCAGGGTCATGGGAGAGCCAGTACATGCAAATACTCACACCTGGGCTGATTTTTCCCCGATTCTAACCTTTGAACTGTGGGTAAAAACCAGAGCACCCAGAAGGAACTCATGCCAACGTGGGGGGGGGGACATGCAAACTCCACACAGATAGCACACCAGCTCTGAAATTGAACCCAGGGCTCTAGTGCTGTGAAAGAGCAAGGAGTGATTTGAATGTTTTCTTTACTTCTACTACTCAGAGGGGAAAGAGTTCAGTATTTTGGTGTTATTTTTTAAACCCATTTTCTAATGTCTGTGCCGTTTGTATAGCATGAGAGGTGTGCTTCTGAAGGCATTTAAACTGTTAGTTAATTTCAGTAGATACTGTAGATATTGCTGTGCATTTAACAAGCTGAGCAACAGAGCTGTTTTTATTATTTGTGAGCAACAGTCAGTCCTGATCTGGTGCTTGTGGCTTTATTAAACTGTACAGTATTTCAATTGGTATACTGCCCTCAAGTGGATGCGACCTACAGTAGCACACAAAGTTTGTGTTGGAAAGCTCTTTAGTACTTACAGTATAAGTCATGGATCTAATTTAGATCTCATTTGAGGTTTCTTTCTCCATATGCTACTGCTTCACAGCTTTGCAAAACTTGTGACAACAGAAGAGATCAATTTAAATCTTCAGTTTTGTCATTTTTTCCCACATGCATAACCATTATGCCTTTTGAGTGCTGTAGAGGTTTTGCAATTCCCAACTAGCAAGGCATTGACTTTAATGCAAATTGAGACGGTAGAAAATAAGGTAGCCCACATAAAATCTATATAAAGCAAAAAAATGAAATGGTAATAAAGATTTAAACAAAATGGAATCTGTTCACTCAGAAGCACGTGTGATTCTGTATCATACTGAAAACTCCTGCCCTTAAATAAATAATAAATTGCTATTAAAAGCATTAAGTTATTTAATATGCAGGCCAGTAGCCAGATTTATTCAATTTTTATTATACCTTGACTTTGTCCTTGCTGCGATTTCAGTTTAATATAGAATCCTCTTATTTTGAGATTTGTTTCTAAAACTGCTGGATTACCAATATCAGCATTGAATTTGTATGGAAGAAATAAAAAAACATTTAATACTAGACTGGATTTATACAAGCATTTCTAACACTGAAATGTATCCATTACAAAACTCATATGCTACACGTACACCATTTTAAGCTTTGTCATTGTGGTCATAAAATGTTCATAGGTAAGAACTTCATTAAACCCTTGTGGGAAATTCAGTTTATTTCTGGTAAGCACCATTTACCAGATGCTGAGTGGCACAAGAGCCCTGCATGTTATGAAATGGTTAATGGGCATTATATTGTCTCATGCCTTTTGGATACAATGGTGGGTACGGTGTTGGTAAAACATGATGGAAGCAGACCGAGAACACCTTGGACTAGGGTAATTTAATCAACTAAAAGAGCCCTTTGTTAGGTACTCTTTGATTGATTGTAACTCCGTACTGCAGTGTAATACAGCCCTCTTTCTGCTAAATCCGTAATGTGCTAATCTGGATCACAGTCCCATCTGCTCACTTAACTGGAACAGGGAAGTTAGGGCGGTAGGAAGGGATAAAAATCAGGATCGTTACAGCCCATTCTTGCGATAGGTCTGGAAAAACTCCTTTTCCAGTACCAGCATAATTAGATCTAAACTTATAGCAGCAAAGAGTGGGACCAACCTGTTATTTCTTCCCATAAGTGTGAATCTATACTGATCACATGCTCAAAACAATTATATTGTGTCCTGCAAACATATTAGAACAGCAATTTCAACACTATAATCTTTGCAAGTTGTATTTGTGATCATGAGGTTATTATAAATTACATTAATCCAAAGTTAAAAATGATGAAATTGGATTTTATAAATGATTCTGTTATGCATTCTAAGCTAATTCTGAAGCATATGGTAGGTTATGTTGGGGGAGTTCTGACTTCACCATTAGTACAGGTAAGAGCTTAAGGTCTCTGTGGCAAAGCATGTCAAATAACAGGAGAGCTCAGTGGCTCAGCCAGTATGCAGTTATTTCCTCAAAGGGAAATGTAAACAAACACCGACGTTTACAGTCTGAAATGTAGAGTGTTTGAAAGGGTTGAACATGAAGTATGGTTTTATTCTAATAGGATACAGGTTTTTATGATGTAGTTCTTATTTATTTTAAGTTGAGGATTAAAAACACAAAATGCTTGACTGGAAAGTAATAGTTTTGCAAGTGCCATATTAGTTAGTCATATCAAAGAACACGATTAGGAAGACTACAGATATAACAGCAAAGATGGACCAAAAATAATTTGAAAGCTTTCCCAGTGGCTACAGTGTGCCTTTGCTGTCCCAATACTGTATCTGTATGTGGTGTTTGTATACAGTATATTGAGAGAAAGATACTTGATGTCAGTTTTAAAAATAATGCCTATTTCTTTCTGTAACCAACCAAAAAAAGTCTAGAATTCATAGAAGTGATGTTAAAGTGCTTTGTTCAACACTGCAATGCACTAAATGTTGCATAGAAGTATTCTTTAAGTTAGCAGTTAATTCTTAACAGGAGAATTATATCATCGGGTTAGAGAAAGGAAGCTTACAGAGATTGGTCAAAGACAGCCCCTGCATTTTCTGTATAGCTCACGTGGTCAAATCGAACAAGCGTGCAGACAGTGAACACCCAGCTTAACATGTTAGGTTTTATTCATGGTAAATCAAACTAGAGGATTTTTGTAGGAGAGGGTGCCCCAGTTAAAATGTTAATGCATTAGTGAAAAGAACTTTATTGGAAAAGTGAAACTTACAGAAAAGGGGTAAATATTTTTCTACCATTTTCTGTCTTTGTTTGGAATTACTATAGGAAATTCTCTCGAACCCTTTTGAGTTGCTTCACTAAATCTTTTCCCTATCACTAGCGTTTTACACAACAATCCTTTACAAACTTCTGAAGAGATCAAAATGCGTTGCTCTTTAAATTGAGATCACCTTTATGGTGGAGAACTCATCATTAAATTGTGGACCTTTCCAGCTACAGTAGAACAGGATCAATTTTGCATTTCTGTTCTGTTGTTTTCCCCTCTCATTAAGTCACAGGAATCTCAGATTGCAAGAAAGGAATGTTGTGGTAATGAAAGATCCTTACCCACTTTTTAATATGAAACTATTGTGGTTGCAGGGGGGGTGTAGAAATACTTTTTCTTTAGTCCTTATTACTCCATGAGATTTGGTCTTCCAACTAAAGCTTTTATAATTCAGGACTGCAAAAGAACTGTCCGCCCTGTATTTTTCTCTCTCTGCCGGTTGAGTTGATCTTATCAGTGGCCGACGGTAGGGCTACAGGCAAGGAGAGAAGGTTAATCCCGTTATCAGACCTCATCTACAAAATCCCAAGGGAAGGAGGCCCTCGCCACAGAGGATTTTCCTGACTAGATAGATGTAATGATGGTCATTAGTTCTGATTACGATGGCTAGAAAAAGCTGCGGCTCGGGCACGCTATAAGAGGGCAAACAATTGCGCTTTTGTCAGTGTATAAAATGACGTGACTGTAGAAATATGAAGAGGCACTTTGTACCCAGGTAGAGGGTGTCTGGTGAGTAATGGAAACTCGCTCTATGTGAGGGATGCTTGCAGATCACTTTACATTACAGATTCTTGATAAAATGTAGGAGTGACCTTTCCCAGCAAGAGAGTGTAATGTTTTACCTCTAGGCTGCGATTCAGGTGATGTTGAATATGAAAAACCGTGCTGCAGTCTGAGCACATTCTTCCATGGCTAATGAGAGGGACAGTCAATTTTATTCACAACCAGCCATCTTTTTAAAATTTATTTTAAAGGCTTATTCCATGCTGAAAAGAGAAGTTTCACTCTTTACTTGTTCCTTTGCAGCCTACGTATGCTGACGCAGCTACCTACTTGAACTACTTCATTACCTAGTACTAAATACCTAGTAGAGCCTGTTAAAATTCATTTTATTGCAAATACCACTGAATGGTTTGACTTGGACAAGATATGTCTTGAAACTTTAGAGTGCTTTTAACTTTGAAGGGAACTCTCTGCACTGTATTCATTCTCTTATTAATTGCTGAATGAAGTAATCAAGCAAAATATGTAAAAATAAAGCATGAGAACCTGCTTCAGCACAACTGTGAGTTATCATTTACAGGGATTCTACCAAGCAGAAATGATCAATGTGTTGTCAGGTTTATGAAAGTCATTGTTGACCTCTGCATTGTTTCATTGGGCAGAATGTGTGATTTTGAACAGCTCTCTGGATTTATGACTGAATCCTGATTCAGAGAGAAGCTGAATGCTGAAATGTAGCTGGATGTTTTCTATATAAAAGTATTCAGTAGAGCTTGTTAAACAGTTATGCATATGCATATATTGCCCACAGATTCCCACCTGACAATGTTTTGCCTTTTCCAGAAAACAGAGGGGTGGGAGAGTGAGAAGACTGAGGCAGACATGGAGGAGTACTGTTGGGACAACAGCACCTCCCAGAGGAATGTGCTGGACACTCTCTTACGGATGAAGGGGCAAGAGGAGGCCTCGACAGCAGCCCAGGAGGAGCTTCTGAAGTCCAAGGTTGTACAGGACTACGGAGAGTCCATGACCAAGCTAAAGAATGAGGGGGAGAGCGAGAGCACCATCCGGCAATACAGAGAGTCTGTGAAGAAGCTGCTCTGCCTGTAGCCATCTGAACACAGGGACTGGCTGGAGCCCCCCATTAGTCAGCTAGCAGTGCATTATAGGGAAAATTTCTGAAGAGTACAGTGATGCATCTGGAAGCCAACCTGAGGCACCGTGTCTTGGCTCCTGCAGCCAATCTTTCTCATGGATTTGAACCTTCAAATGTAACGTCCTGTATGTTGTTTTCAGTGTTACAATAATGATAGTAAAATGAGGTTTTGGGAAAAAAAAAGTTATTCTATTGTATATAAAAATATACTGGGGGGGAGTTCTTCAGTGACACTCATTGCTTTCTGTTGCTCAGGTTGGACCACGAGTTGGATGCTATATAGGAAGAACTGAAATTCACTCTGCAGTGCAGGGCTTCTTCATTTTACAACTGTTACTCTTCTATACCAACCTCACTTTCTTTTTGCATTGAATTTTAAGTGAAGCTTTTCATTTCCCCCTCTCCTATCTTAATTGCCCTTTAGACCTAAAATAGCACACAGCTTCTCAAACATTTGAAAGTTGGGTTTCTAGCCCTAGAAAACATATTTGTGCAACAGTCTCGGTACTGAACCTCCCTTACCGCTGCCCAGTAAGAAGAAACGGGGAGGAGAGGGGAAAAAAAAAGAAAGGATGCATTCAGCAGTGGTGGAATACACACCAGACCCCATGAGATTCCCTGCCACTCCCCACAAACTCTTTAGGCAGCACAGAGGGAAATTTAATCTTGGTCCTCTGAACTAATTGTACTCTTGATGTCCCAAGGCCCAGGGAAGTCATAAGAGAGAAAAGCCAAACCTGAACAACAAATACTGCTACTTTAATCTCCGTGTTAAGCAGATTACCAAGGTCATGGAAGAGAAGAAAGTTTGTGATCTTGATTGGAAGATGCAAACAATCTACTGTACAGAAGCCCTCAGCCATTACGTCACTGCTGCCAAAACCATTGAAGCCTGCTAGTAGTGGTGTTTCTGGAACTTTCCAGGTGTTTTTTATTTTTGTGGGTTTAAAAAAAAAACATTTCTGTAATACTGGATTAATCATAGTGGAGACAGACTAAAGCTTTTATAGTGTTCAACTGGGGAAGTTTATAGAATTTACCCACAAAGAATTGTAACATGGATTCTTATTCCTGGATTTCCAGGGCTATGTTTCTGCTATATTTAAAGGCATGACAGCATTAGTTTACCCCACCCCACCCCCACCCCCCACAGGCAGTTCCATTCTTTCAACAGGCAAACAGCATTTCAGGATTAGAGCTGGGTAAAACTTTAACTCCATCTTTCTCTAAAATTAAATATTTTACTCTTTGTCTCAAACTGCCAGCATGTATATTTTTAAGAACTGCATTTCATAATATCTTTGTGATATCCCATCTATTAAGGATAACATTATTGTAAATATCCAGCAATCATTACAAAGCAGGTGTTCTGGCAAAATAAAAATAACTCCAGGTTGTCAACTTGGCATAATAGCCAACTAATCATCAGAAGCATTCCCAAGACCTGTGGGAGGGACTGAGAACTTGTTTAAAGTCAAGATCTCGAGTTCACCGATTATCTCAGCCGTTTCATTATAAACCAATGGCATTTGATTCTCTGCAGCTACATGGAAGAAAAGTGCTCCGATAAGTAGTGTAAAAATGCAGTTTTACTGTACCATTCTGCAGCTCAGCCATACAAGTGTGCTTTTCATAAGTTAGATTCTCCAACCCCCTCCCCCAAGTCAACTCAAAAACCACATTAAAATGCCAAAGATATCAGTATGATAATACCCGAGTCCAATTTTCTCTTTAAAAGGTAATGACAGCGTCATATTTCCTCCTTAAATTAGTGTATATTGTTACATGATAATTTCAAACTCGGCAGCAAATACTGTTACTCAGATTGTCCATTACACCCAGTAGTCACTAATTATATTTAAACGTAGCCTATACATTGAAGTCCCACTCAGTTTTGAGTGTATTGCTCAAATTTTGGTTTGACTTAAACATTTAATGATTGATTATGTTCATAATACCACAACTACACAAAAATAACAATTTTAATGGGGGGTCTACTTAGTTAAAGGTAGTCTGAAAAGCAAGCTACTAATCTGTTGACAATGGTTCTCAACTTTAAACATAAGGACATTGACTGAACCATTTATATCCTTTATATTAGAGTTACAAAAGTTTGCATGCACAGGATACTTCAGCAAATACATTAGGAGAGGATTAACCAGAACATATAGCTCATATTATTTATAGCAAATACTTTAAACATGTAAAAATGACTAAAAAGACTAATTCACAGTAGGAGGTTACATCCAATTCCGCTTCATGTGCAATACAGTCATACCAGTGGGTAAGTTCCCCCTCATTTCCTTTTACCAAGAGGGTAAAGTAAAACCACCCATTAATGGCCTAACTTCACCAGCCTTCACCCTTTTCCCAGAAGTCCAAGTGATGGCTCATCTCAGTGTTGAGATTCTGCAAAATGTCTTGAGGATATTTTCCTCAGAATGTTTTCTTCAGATTGCCTACACCATTAGCAGTTCCCACTGAGCTGGCTTACCTCTGTCCAGGAGACATGCATGCATCTCTTCTACAGCATTTTCTTCAGCTTATGCATTGCAGCCCACCAAAGTCCTTTTGTCAGTTTGCAGGCGTCCTCCATTCAATAAAGGCTCCTAGAAAGTTCTGCTTCCAACAGATACTGGTCAGAACTGGCTGACAAAGTTGTCCTTTCTGAAGGGTTTGTAATGAGGAAACCTACACATTGAGGCCAACTCTTTTAATACTATTACACCATATATTACATTGACATGGAAACCTCAAGCCAACAACTAAATCCTAAACTAAACCCCTGCATGTGGGAGCATAGCTGTGGGGATCTTCATACATTAACCAGCCAGACATTAGATACAATTTAGCCTAAATCTAAAGGACACTTCACTGTCTACAAGGTGGAGCAGCTACAACACAAACATGTACTGAATATACTCACCTAAAAAGTGCAGCTGCAGCTGCTGCTATCCTTTTCTGTCATCAACTAACTCCACTCTATTGAAACTCTTTTATACAAAAATTCCCATGTGCAAATCCTACATTCCAATAAATTAGCACTCATCATTCAATTAGAGATAACAGATGAACTATTTGACATGGGTGGCCAGTTTTGACAGCCCCTAGTGGTAGCCTAGTGTCACTAACCCCCTTCCCTTCTGTTAATTTGACTGACACACATCAGGCCACATCACCCGCTTTGACTTGTAATGACAAGACAAGAAAGAAGATGGTGGTGAGGTTGACTGGCAGCACTCATCTTTTCTGTCCTTCAAACATTTCAGCACCAGTGTATCCCCTTGGCACTACCACAGATCTACTGTAGGTGTCTGGACCACACCACATCCACACCCTCATTCCCTGATCGCACCAGCAGTATAAACACAAAATCTCTTCAGGATACTCTCCAACACCATCCAAGGCCATTCATTCAAATGTTTTGGCCACCCTCCCCACCCAGATATTTATCACATATATTCATCACCGAGTGGCTTGCTGAGAAGCCCATCCTACTCCTTTACTCCCTAGAGACAGACAGAACTTTACCTTTGATCCCATGGCAGTGGTCAAGAACCATTTACCCACCTGCCTAACCATGGTGGTGTTCAGTCTTCCTCAGTGCCCCCCCCACAAATAATGCCATAACCACACATTATCCCATTTTTTTCCCAGCCTCCAGAGATATTGTAATGTCACGCTCCCGATGTGGAATTCGGCTGGAGATCCAGGAGTGTTAAGAACCCACTTGTTTGAAAAACTGGCAGCGGAGTTGGAGAGGCTGCAAAACCAGCATACAGGGAAAGGCCAGAGCTGCACATTACTGAGACCAGAGGGAGCGTGGTGCTAGTTAGGGAGTCCAGAGCATGGTGCAGGCAAATCAAGTTCAAGTCTGTGGTCGTACAAGTCAGGATTAAAGCCAGGGAGAAACTAGGAGAAAGCACAAGGGCGAATCTGGGAGTCATAGTCAAGTATCAGGAGTCAGGGTCAAAACCAAGAGGTGATCCGGGAGATGTGGTAGTAACAAAAAAGGGTCAAGCATGGGAATAAACACTGAGAGCAACAGAGCTTGAGGTGCTCAGCGTTCAAACCTTCAGCTCGGTGGGGTCCAAGTATTTATTCTAAGGAGCACCTGGATGGGGCATGGTCATAAACTGCTTCCAGGTTTTCCGAATCTCCAGGTGATTCGTTTCCTGTGGCACCTGGAGATGGGAGACAGGTCGAGCAGGACATCGCCAGCGCTGCGCCCCAGCTACAGTAGCTCACACCACAAGCCCAATTGATGTGCAGTCATCATGGAAAGAGTTGGCCACCACCCCCGCATGACAACAAAGGGGTAGCTAGCATGGGTCAGTTCTCATGCCTTGGAGATCCCATCACAGTCCAACCGTTTCTGTGCTGAGGAAGACTCTAGTTTCCTTCAGTTCTTCCAGTCCCTCCTTTATAAGGCCTACAAGGCATCACTACAGTTGTCCTGAATTGTCAGCTACTCTGTTATTCTAACAGTCTATTTCCCCCACCTGGAAGCCCTGCAGGGCTTTCTTTTTTCTCATATCCACTTTCTGATATACAGTTAGATCCATCCTTCTATTTCTCAACTGCTTGATCCAGTGCAGGGGATACTAGAGCACAACCCAGCAAGCAACATGCACAAGAAGGGGAACAACCTGGATAGGATGCCAGTCTGAATGTTCCCAAATGTTCATTTTCAGCTCATGGTCAGGGTATTAGCTCTGCAATCAGTGGTCGGCACTATCCCACAATGCTTTGCATCCACTTAAAAGCATATGGTATTTTTACAAGTGGGGATCTTTGATAAGTGACGCTCCGCCTAATTCAAAGACTTGATCATAGGCTACGCTCGCTGTCGGTGATCCTGGACATCCACCCTAGGGAAAACTTCACAGTCATTCCCACTTGTTGTGAGAGGTTAGACAGGGTGGCTGTGGAAATCCCACTACCTCAACTCTAGGATGTACCACTGGACTCGTTCAATCTGGTATTCCAGAATAAGACCTTCACAGTGTGCCAATGAAATCTCACGTTTGAAACCCTCTGTAGTACAGTATCTCTGCTTCTCCCCAGATGCAATGCTCCACTATTTAGTAATAGAAAATACCTGGCCAAACTCTGCTTTATCACAACCCGACCCTAGTATAATATTGCTGATCTCATTTAATAATGTGAATACCGTTGTGTATTCATCAGGTTTGTTAAACCAAAGTCTCAGTCTGGTAATTAAATAATCATTTAGTCATTCCATTTAATTTAATGTAATGAAACACATTTATTAGTACAACATAAGCAGTAGCAATAGCATTTTAAAATTTTGTAACGGATTTAAGAAAATTAACTGTGATAAAATATCCACAACAACATGATAACACAAGTGATCAATATAAATGAAAGTGACTGTGCAGTATAGTGCTAGCCTTCACTTTTCACAAACAAAACATTTAATGCAGCAATGCGACATGAAATATCAGGTCTCTTTTCCATATTTTTGATATTGAAGTCTCCATACCAAAGGTTAACAAACCAGTCACATTCCTCGCTTTGTCATTAGCAGCAACTTTACAATAAGCAGCAGAGTTCAATACACAGAGACATCAGAAGTAGTGGCAGGAACATCCATCTATCATCAGAAAGATGCTATCCTGGAAGACACAAGGCAGGACTACACCATGATCAGGACAACAGTTCACTGTAGGGGACATACTGTACTTACATACTGTACTCAAACAGACAGGAACACCCAATAACCTAAACAGTACAGAAGAAAACACATAGAAAATCCACATACTGGAGACTTGAAAAGAACATTCAAACTCCAAACACAGGCTAGCATAAAATCCCACAGCTCAAAGCTGTGAAGTATCAGCACAAACACCACCATGTACAACCTTGCAGTTCTAAAGTAAATAAGAGTAACTTCAATATCTAGACATGTAACAATTCCATTCCATTCACAGGCTAGTTCCTTTAAAAGCCTATTACAAGTACTGTATCATGCTATAGTTGTACATATATGCAGCAGTCTTTCATTTCAAAGACATTCTGTGAATGACTACATCATTTGTGTTATTTTTTAAAAGTAAAAAAATTCATAATATAATGAAAATCTGGCTAGAGAGCAAAGTACTTGCTTAAGCCCACGGATGTACTGATGTACTTTAGAATACATTTGTATAGCACTATTCTACTGTTTAGAATTGTTTTGTATCTGTAATGGGAATAAAACAAGCATTTCAACACAGTACAGTGCCTTGCGAAAGTATTCGGCCCCCTTGAACTTTTCAACCTTTTGCCACATTTCAGGCTTCAAACATAAAGATATAAATTTTTTATTTTATG